GTGGGCCGTGGGCCGTTCGGGCAAAGCGATGAAGCAAGAGCCCAATTTTTCTTTTTCCTAGAAAATTGAATATGCAAATTGGCTCAAAAGAAAATAGAAAAGTAATTTTTCCCTGTAGGTAAAATTCAAGAAATTGATTGAAAGTTTTTTCCGCTGCTAAAAAAAATACATTCTCCAGTGTTTTGAACCGACGTGATATTTAACTGGAGAAAAAGAAAGTTCTTCCAGTAAATGTTTATTTTCTGGAAAATTGATTAATAGATTAAAGGATATAGAAAAAGCAATTTTCCCCGTGGGTAAAATTCAAGGAAAAGAGAGTTTTTCCACAGCCAAAGAAATTGTTTATTCTCCAGTTAATTTGTACCAACGTGATATTTAATTGGAGAAAAGAAAAGTTTTTCCGCTGCTAAAGAAATTGTTGATTCTCCAGTTATTTTGAACCAATGTGATATTTAATTGAAGAAAAAGAGTTCTGATATGATTATTATGTTGTTATTTTCTGACCAACGTTGTTAATAACAATATCGTAATATTAATGATTTATGCATTAATTCTACTTCTGCCCAACGGTGATGTAGAATTAGTGTATAAGAAAAGATGATAATTTTAATGATTTATGCATTAATTCTACTTCTGCCAAACGATGATGTAGAATTAGTGTATGAGAACAGTTGTAAAAGTTAATGATTTATGCATTAATTCTATTTCTGCCCAACGGTGATATAGAATTAGTGTGTAAGAACAGATGTGAAAGTTAATGATTTATGCATTAATTCTATTTCTGTCCAACGGTGATGTAGAATTAGTGTATAAGAATAGTTGTATGTTTTAATTTTGACCAACGTTGGAATCAAGGCATGCAAATGGTGTTAATTTTATGTTAAGAAAAGTTTTGACCTGATTTTCATCTTGTCTAAGGTGGACTGGGTAGTCACCTTACCGTGTTCCACTGAGATTGTGGCACCGGTGAGGAAGACAAAAGTGAATGATGCCACTTGGACAACTAAAGAAAGGGATTTTGAATCCCAAAATATATCCTATGGCTTTTGAGCATAGGAAGTGGGTCACTGCAAATAAGAAATGTTTGGCGGTGATAAAGAACATGACTGAACCTGCAATTGTGGGCTCAATCCCAGAATGTGACACGGTCACCGAATACCTCGATAGAATAAAGAGTCAGTTCACTGGCTCTTCAAAGACATATGCCACTTAGTTGATAAAGCAGTTGGTCACAGAGTGTTACTCTGGAAATGGTGGCATAAGAGAGCTCACGATGCGTTGTCGAAATTATGACACTGTCGTTTAGGCCATATTTTGAGGGGGAGAATAGAAAGACAAGTTAAGAATGATATTCTTCCTCCATTAGAGCTCTCAGATTTAGAACAATGTAGAGAATGCATAAAAGAAAAGTATGTAAAGAAGATTAAGAAAGATGCCAAATGAAGTGCAGGAGTTTTATAGATTATTCACACAGACATCTGTGGTCAGTTTTCCTATAAAGAGTGTAGATGGTAATGATTCGTTCATAACATTCACATATGAGTACTCCCATTATGGCTATATTTATCTAATCAAAGAAATAAAAGATGTATTGGATAAATTTAAGATATTAAAGATTAAGATAGTCAGGTCTGACCGTGGAGGAGTACTACGGTCAGCATACCCTAAAAGAATGGCATAGTAGCCCAGTATTCTATACCGGGCAAACCTCAGCAGAATAGAGTAGCTAAAAGAATCAATCGTACCCTGATGGATATGGTGGGCAGTATGATAAGTTACTCCACCTTACAGTTGAGCCTGTGAATGGAGGCGTTGAAAACGGCCATTCATATTCTCAATAAAGTATCAAGAAAATCGGTGCCCAAAATACCGTATGAGTTGTGGACAGAAAGAGTACCCTCACTAAACACTTGAGTGTGTGGGGGAGTCCTGCTGAGGCTAAAGTATTTAACCAAAACATTAGAAAACTAGATCCTAAAATAGTAAGTTGTCATTTCATTGGCTACAGAGAAAAGTCAAAAGGTTTTCGTTTCTACTATCCAGAGTGACATACAAAGTTTGTGGAAACGAGACACGCTGTCTTCCTAGAGGACGAAAATATGAGGGGGAGCATGGTAGCTCGAGAAATTGTCCTTGAAGTGAAGCGGGTGTATGCGCCCACTCCAATGATTCATGAGCCATTTTTCTCACTACATGCTGTAGCTGCACCGACAGTGCTAGATACTGTGGTGTCAGCACCTGTTGTTATCCCACCTGTGGCAACAATGAATGACGATGAGGAACCTGTTCTTCAGGATTCTATAGAACCTATTGCCACACATGAGGGGGAGCAACAACAGCCTCAAATAGAAGATGTGCCAAATGTGAAGGCCCCTAGTAGGTCTCAAAGAGTTAGAAAATCAGCTATTTCTGCTGATTAAGTGTATAACACTAAGGAATTCCAAATGGAAGATGAAATGAAATCGATGAATATCAATAAAGTTTGGGATTTGAAAATAATTCCTAAAAGAGTCAAAACAGTAAGCTATAAATGAGTCTACAAAACTAAACATGACTCTCAAGGGAATATAGAGACATAAAGTGTGACTTGTGGCAAAAGGCTTTATGCAAAGAGAAGGGATTGATTACAATGAGACCTTTTCTCCAGTCTCATGTAAAGTTTCCTTCAGAATCATAATGGTATTAGTGGCACATTACGATTAAGAATTACATCATATGGATGTAAAGGCGGCATTTCTCAACAGAGACTTGGAGGAAAATGTTTACATGGCACAACCGAAAAGTTTTGTCATGGAAGGAAAAGAACGAATGGGATACCGTCTAAAGAAATCCATTTATGGATTAAAGCAAGCTTCAAGACAGTGGTACTTGAAGTTTGATCGGTCAATAAAGAATTTTGGGTTTTAAAAAAGAATGTAGAGGACAATTGTGTCTATGCAAAGTTTAAGAATGGGAAGTTTATCTTCCTTGTCCTGTATGTAGATGATATCTTACTTGCTAGTAGTGATGTCAGTCTACTATAGGTGACAAAGAAGTTTTGCCCTCAAAACTTGATATGAAAGATCTTGACGAAGCCTCGTTCGTTCTAGGGATCGAGATTCACCGAGATAGAAGAAAAGGGTATAATGACTGTCACAAAAGGCATACATGGAAAAGATCTTAAAGAAATTCGGTATGCACAAATGTAGTCCCTCACCGCTCCTATAGTCAAAGGCGGCAGATATGGGGATTTTCAATGCCCCAGAACCAATATGAGCTCAATTGATAAAGTGAAAGTGGTTCCATATGCTTCAAATTGTCGGAAGCTTGCAACTTGCTCAAGTATGTACACGCATACGACTTGGCATTTGTTACTGGGTTTTTACTTGGCGATTCGAGCAATTCGGAATAGAACATTGAAATTAGTAAAGAAAGTCTTGCATTATTTGCGAGGAACGAAAGGTCTCATGATGACATATAGAAGATCTCGATTCACTCCACATAGTGGGATATTCAGATTCGATTATGCGAGAGTGAATGCATATCCAGACGTGGATTTTCTATCATCTCGCAAAGGAGAGCTATTTCATGAAAAAGTTCAAAGTAAACTCGTCAATACATCGTCCACAACAATGTATGACAGCTTTGAAGCGTGTTATGAGGCAGCAGGCGGGTGAACTAACTAACGAAGTTCATACCCGGTTTGAAGGTGGTTGCGACATCTATAGACCACTAAAGTTATCTCTGCGATTATAATCTGGCAAAGACAGGATGCTCACAACATAAGTCAAGTGGTGCCGCCAAACACATTGACATAGAGTATTATGTTGTGAAAGATAAAGTCCGGGATCAAGTCATAAGTCTTGAGCATATAAGAACAGAAAGGATGCTCGCGGATCCGCTTACAAAAGGCTTACCACCCAACATGTTCAGAGGACATGGTGTTCAGAGAACATGTAGCTAGCTTAGGTTTAAGGGAAAGCCTAAAATATTCCCGGATAAAAGAAGGCCCAAAGATAAGTATCTATTTGTAGCAGTAGTAGTGAGTTGTAGTCTGTTAAGTCTATCGGCAATGGACCGTGATTTGAGACACGCTCTATGAGCTAATCTGTAATGGAATGATCAAAAGTAAATGATATGAAAGTGAAAGATGGAATGAGATCAAGGGGAGAATGTTAGTTGATCTCCACCAATAGGCCCAACGGCCTATTGGGCCCTTATCTATGCTCCACGATCGGGAGCCCAACCCTAATCCCCGGTTGGTGGGCCTCTGACAAAGACACATAAAAGGAAGGTGGGGTGAGGGTCTGGGACTATGAGGTTCGCCGTGAGCCGCCATTCCCACCCACAAGAACCCTAATCCAATCTAAAGGCCGTCGCCAAATGACGGATGAGCCCCAACCACCGCCTGTCGACCCACCGCAGGCAGGTCACCACCCGGATCATTGTCTCTCCACCGGCGCCACATGGACTTCACCGCCACCGCTACTGGACGCGTCTTCTACATTGCGGCACCTTTGGCGTCACCCGCCACGGTGCATCTAATCGAGAAGGCGAGAGTCTACCCGGATCTGGGTCACACAGATGTACCAATCCACGATCCTAACAAAGGCGTCCACCCGTGCCCTACCCCGCCAGTTCCCTTGGGTGAAAACCCCCGCCTATTGGTGGGCGGCGATGGCGGCGCCTTTGGTGTCGCAACCTTCCTGAAGGCATTGTCGTGGGCACCGGCGTTGCGTCTAGCATCCTCGCCCCGGCGATGGCAACTAGTTGCGTCATTTGGGAAGTCTGAGCTGCCCAGTCCTTGATGAGTTTGGCAACGATGACTTGAAGGCGTTCTTTGGTTTGTGACAGATGTCATTGAGAACTTTGTAGAATTCGTTTTCATTAGCTGCTTACGGACTTGAGCTCGTGGTGAGCTCGTAGTTGTAGGTAGTGATACAAGTCGTGTAGTTATTATAAGCAAGTGTTGTATGGTTTTGGGCCCATCCTTATAATCTGGGTTAATTCTCCTCTTCTTATTAATATAAAAGCCGGAACATAAGTTCTCGGATCTTTCAAAAAAAAAAAAGCAGGCATATTGCTATTTGCTAATGGGTAACCAGGTCACATGGGATTTAACTCAAGGTGTAATTTCGCAAACAGAAGGCATATTGCTATTTGCAGATGGATAACCAGGTCACATGGGATTTAACTCAAGGTGTCATTTCGCAAACAGCATATAAACATGCCAATCATGTCGCTGTAAGGTGGTGGAGTAATCGAACACACCAGAGAGAAAGAGGTCTCCTCGTTAAACCCCGGCGTCCTAGGGGAAGAGCAGTATCCATCCTCGTCAAAGCACGACCTTGCCGAGTGCTTCTCAGCCTTAACCTGCACAAAGTGAAATATCAAGCGCGGAGCATTAGAGATCGACCGCCGAGGCGCAATAGCAAAGAACACACGGCGAGACCGTGACAGGGGAACGTACCTGGGCGAGCTCCTGCGCGAGGCATTGGATCTGGTCGGTGAGCGTGGAGATCTCGTCCCGGAGGCGGCGGTCGGGCTCCGGCTCCGGCTCCGCGTCCGGGAACAGGACGGCGTCTTTGAGCGTCCTGATCTCCTCCCGCTGCCGCAGGCACAGGTCCTTGAGCCGCTCCACCTCCCTGTCCTTGTTCTCCAGCTGCAGGTGGAGGCCGGCGATCTCGTCCTCCTGCGCCTTGGTCTGCGCCAGGAGCTCCCGCTCGCTGCGCAGCACCATGCCGAGCGTCCGCGTGTTGGCGTTGTTGCCGCCGTTCTTGACGTCCGTCAGGGCCTTCGTCTTCCTGGGCGCCGCCGCCTCGGTGGACGAGGCTTTCTGGAACAACTTCCGCGACAGCCCGGCAGCTTCCCGCCGCCGTTGTTCTTCGCTGAGGCGGCGGCGGCGGCAGGAGGGACCGGGAGCTGGTTCTTGGAGGAAGGCGGCTTCTTGTCCATGGAGATGAGCCGCCGTAGCACGGAGCCCAGGTTGCCGTGGGCTTGCGGCTGCGGCTTGGCGCCCAGTAGATCGCGGCCGGATCTCCCCGCGACCACCAACGCGCGGCTGCTGCCGTGCGCTCCTCCCGGGGTCGCGGCGGCCGCGGAAGACGCCGCGCGCCGCGGCGAAGGGGACGGGGACGGGGAGTCGTAGGCCGCGTAGCGCGACGCCGCGGACGCCTTCTTCATCTCTGCCTACGAAACCGTGGAGGCGGGAGGCCGGATGGGGAGGGCTGGGGAGGCGGAGGAGAGCGCTGGGGAATGGGGAGCGGCCGGCGGCGTTCGAAATTCAAATGGCACGGCCTCCTTCCGTGGCCTGCCGACGTGTCAGTGGAAGTGTGGTACTAGCGCGGACTGCGCGATCTCCTCGCGTTTCCGCCTTGGTAAGGTGTTGCCCACGGAGTGACGGACGCCTTTTGTTTCGCAAAGGCTAGCGCCTGCCGCTCGTGTCAGCGGCGCCTTTTTTGCTGCACCTGCACGCCGGGCAGGGCCCCAAGGGGCAAGGGGAATTCAAAGTTTCGAACCGGATCCAGCGCCAAACACGCGAGCTCTTCGTCCTTTGGAATTCCTAGTACTTTTGACCAGGCTTCCTCAAACTGGTCCGGACCGGCGGCCGAGTGGGCGTCTCGCCCGCCGCTGAGATCCGGAAACAGGCGGGATCGGCGAGATGGGTGAAGCACTTTTTGTGGGTTAGTGTTTAAGGTTTGTACTAATCATAAAAGTTTTGTTTGAGATTTGTCAAAAAAAATTGATATTATTATATGGGCGAGTTTGGTTCTACAACTACGCGAGCTTGGCTCGCATCTCCTAAGGATTGGCCTCGCCGGGTAGACCACATGCAAGCAAGATACACGTGTTGTTGAGCTCACCACTTGTTGTATTGACTGAAATAGGGTATCTAGAAATACAAGTGTACTTGTTTGGTTTATTGCATATATATAAGAAAGTTTAAAAATATCATATTCTAGTATATGCCACAAAAACCTATCACTGTACCACATCATCATACCGGGTAGTCAGGATGTCACCTAACATAAAAGACAATCACATTTGTATCGACATTTGCCTCGGCTAAAACGCGAAAAGAAGAGGGTGTAAATAATTAAATCATCATAGTGGTATAGATCAACATTACCTCGCGTAAATGATAGAAAGAAGGGGAACTTGAGTACTCATAACCTGTGAGCATTGCATAAAAAAAAATAAAGTTTGTATGTAAGAAGTTAAGTATCATAGCACCTGTCCATTGCTTCAATAAATAATACAAAGAGTAAAATGCATCAGAGGTTCATTAATTTTTGAGAGGGTGTCGTATAGGTCCATCAACTTTGAAACTGCATTTAAACTTTTTAAGTGATTCACCACAGGTCCATACATCTTCGTTTTATGTTTATATTTATAAGAAACCCCCTATAATTATTTTTCTTTCACAGGCTTACCCTTCATGTCTTCCCGGCCACAGGATGGCGAACGACGGAAACCTCCGGCAATGGCCGCCTCCTGCCCTTCTTCCTTCTCTTGCTTCCTACAAACCGATTTCACGGCGGTGTAGAGGGCAAAAGCGAAGAAGCAATTGGGAGGGCATACTACTCGGTTGAGGTTTAGCCCATCACCACAAGGTCATGCATGGCGCCAACAAAATGGGCTTTGATGCGGCGGTCTTGGAGTTCTTCCCAACCATGCATGGCGTTGCCGGGGACCAAACATGCGGGACCCATGGCGGTGTAGTTAGGCGGTGAGGAATGTACTGTTGCGGCCACCGCAACAGAGGCGGCGTCGGTGGTGTGCAGCTATATAAGGAAGCCGTTGTAACTGAATCGATCTCAATGAAGAACAGAAACCTTCCTGTCGACTAAGAAATACACCTGCCTCGCGGATTCCCGCCGCGTTCCATCTGTTCTTTCCAATTTCTTGCTATCTACCCCCAAATTCCCCTCTAGATCCTATCCCAGCGACCCTAGTGCTTCCGCCTCCACCGCCGGCGTCGTCGACTCTGATGATTCCACCCCACCACCCGCTCCCTCAACATTGGTGTATCCACAAGCTCCCGAGGCGATGCGGTTCGATCTCAACACGCACCCGTCCTCGTCGAGCTCACCTTCGCCCCATGGGCACGACCAGTGCATCGATCACCGGGTTGCGGTCGGGGGGATCCTTGGATCTCTCCTAGGGCACCCGGTCACGGGTACGCTTCCTGATCCTCCTGATGTCGTTGAACCTCATTGCGAATTGGATTCGACTACCATTCATTGTTCGATTCTGGTCCCTAAGATGGATTTCCCCAAATTCAATGGGGAAAATCCGAGATGGTGGCATGACCACTGTGTTCTGTATTTCGAGGTATACGGCATTGCACCGCTGATGAAGACGAGGTTCGCTGCCCTCAACTTTCAGGGAGATGCCGCCAATTGGAACTCCGGTGCTATGACATGATTGTCGAAGAGTGTCGCTGCAGAATGTGACCAACTAGTAAATATTTGTAGTTTTGCCGTACGTTGTGATCGTATGTGGCCTAGCACTCAATGACACAGGGTTTATACTGGTTCAGGCAACATGCCCTACGTCCAGTTTGGGTCGGTCAGTGACTTTATTCCTGAGCCCAGGTGCTCGAAGTCTGCAGTGGGGTTACAAACGAGAAGGAGAAAGATGGGGTGTACAAGAGGTCCGGTCGGAAGGGCTGAGAGCGACTTGAGCTACGTTATGAGCTAAGTGTCCAAGCGTGTGCTTGAGGTCCGAACCTGGTGGTTCTGTGGTTGTGGACTAGAGAACTTGGTTGACCTAATGAATCTAAAAAAGGCTCCCCTTGTTGGAGGGAGCGCATCCCCTTTTATAGATAAAGGGGATGGCTTTACAAGTGAGGATACGTATGCTACTGAGCTTTGTTGCCCATGCCGGCGGGTACAAGATAATGATAGGCGCCTACAACACTGTTGATGTACTGTAGAATGTCAGATGCATGTGGGAGGTTGTGTTTGCCTTCTTCTGGAATGGTAGACGTCGGTACCTGTAGATAATGTTCGATGCCTAGAGGCATGTGAGGAGTGTCACCATGTTCACCCCATACGGTAAATCCCGACGTCCACGACACTATTTGCACCGGAGGCACGTGGAGTGCCTTCATCCGACTGGGAGTTTTAACTGGCGCCTACAATCATGTGAGAGGAAAATGTCAGGCGCCTACAATACTATTTGTGTCGGGGTGGTTGCAAGAGTACTCGTTCCTCGTAGGTGTGTGGTATGGTCCCTGGTATCGTGGTTTGACTTACGCGCCCTGGCTTGCTTTCTCCGTTCGCCCCTGGCTCCTTCCGAGCGGGCGTCCCCGATCGGATGGCCCCAGTCGGTTCTGGCCATGCCAGTCGGAGAAGAGCGGTGAGCAGGGTTTCTGTGCCCCCCGGTCGGCGACGCGGGGTTGGAGTCGGAAGTAGCGTTTTGGGCCCGGCCTTCCGATCGGAGAGGCCGTCCGGAGGCGACTGGATCCTGAAGCGAGCGCTCCGGTCGGAGAGGTGGGCCGAAGTAGTTGATGAGCGGGCGTGGTTCCTCTTCATCCAGACCTTCCGGTTGGTGACTGGACCGCCCTTCTGGCCCTTTGTTTTAAACTCTTGGGCCGACCCATGAGTTGTGTGCTGCTTGTTTGGGCCGAGGCCCGCCGTGGAAGCCGGTCCCTGAGGGACCCTGGGTCTATGAACCCGACAGGCGCCCCCGAGCCCTTGGGTAATTGAGGCGCGTAATAAATGTCTGGGGATTTTTTGTCTTGCCGGTGGTGCGGCTGGCCTTTTCCATGGTGTAGCCCTCGGCGGTTCAGGCGAAGAACTGCTTGGGGGTTTTCTGTCTTTGTCGGTGGGGAGGTTTCCGTTTCATCGGTGGGTGCGCGCAAGCGTACCTACGGGTGTAGCCCTCGAGCCCCTGGGCGGTTCGGGTAGAACCGTCTGGGGGGGTGTTTGGTTTAGCGGGCGTGTGTGCGTGTTTTTAGTTTGAGATGTTGTTTGTTCTAACCAGGGCGTCGTTGCACAGCCAAGGTGTTTTAATCGCTCGAGAGATCGGGTGAGAGGGAGCTCGTGGATCCTGGCGTCGGTGCATGCCGTAGGATCGGGTGAGTTTGTTAGTTTAGACGAGACAGAGCTTATTGAACCTGACGTCGGTGCGCGCCGTGGATCGGGTGAGTCAGAGTCGCAGGGCGAGATCGGGGTCGTAGACCCAGGTGCTTGGAGCGCAGTCGGAAGCGTAGCCGGATGGGGCAAGATCGGGGTCGTGGACCCAGGTGCTTGGAGCGCAGTCAGAAGCGTAGCCGGACGGGGCGAGATCGGGGTCGCAGACCCAGGTGTTTTTGGAGCGCGGTCGGAAGCGTAGCCGGATGGGGCGAGATCGGGGTCGCAGACCCAGGTGTTTTGGAGCGTAGTCGGAAGCGTAGCCGGATGGGGCGAGATCGGGGTCGTAGACCCAGGTGTTTTGGAGCGCAGTCGAAAGCGTAGCCGGATGGGGCGAGATCGGGGTCGTAGACCCAGGTGTTTTGGAGCGCTGTCGGAAGCGTAGCCGGATGGGGCGAGATCGGGGTCGCAGACCCAGGTGTCTTGAGCCCCCGAGCCTTGCTGGGCTTTAGTAGGGGTCGGTGTGAGTTATGTGTGTTACCCCATCCTCGGTTCCTCACAACCGGAGGGGCTGAGTTTTGATGCTTGCCCCGATCGCTCGGTCTCGAGTGACGCGCTCGGTGAGTTCGCTAATGGGTGTGATTGAGTGGAATCCAGGTCCGTCGTTCGTGACGGGGTCAGCATAGCCCTCTTGTGACATTCCATTACTCCTTTACCTGCTACCTGGTAGATGCCTAGGTTGTTCCGGAGACCGACCCAGGTGTCCTAATGGCCTCCCCTCGATGAAGATTTTGTGGGCTTGGCGAGAGGTTCAGGATCGAACGAGAAGGTTGAGATGACCCAGTCTGCCAGACCGGGTGAGGGCCGCACAGGGCTCATTTATGATTTTCTCCCCTGGCTCTGTTGATTGCTCATGTCGAATGAGGCAACCGTCGCTTCGTGACGCAACATGGAGTGTTGTGATGCATTTCGCTGCACATGCGATGCTTAGTTCCCGAGCCCCCGGGCGGTTCAGGGCCCAAATCGTTCAGGAGGCACGGGCGTATGGAATGAATGCGCGTATGGATGTATGAAATGATTATAAGGAAATAGAGGGGGCATGTA